TCCACGTGAAAACGCAAAGCGATTTCTTCGCTTGCGGTCATCTGGAATTCAGGCGCCTTTGCAACGACCTTCCCGTGGTGTACGGCCTGTTTCGGAGATTATATTGTCGCCGATATCGGTTGACTTGGAGGACGAGATGCGATCGGATTCGTCATCTACCGAGGTGCTGCCTCGCCCAGTATCTGAACATCACACTGTGACTACCGATACTACCACTCCATTTACTCCCTTGCGAAATGAGAAGGTTGTAGCCACTGGGAGTGGCATTTCCGTCGGCATTGCCCTCACGGAACCTGTTCTTTACTTGCAGGGCTATGATCAGCAGGACCCAAGCAGTAAAAAGTCCGCAATTCTGCGGGGACAGATGCATTTGAAGATTACCAAATGTGTCAAGATCAAGAAGATCTCGGTCTGCTTCCGCGGCCATGCCCAGACCGATTGGCCAGATGGTATGAATCCGCTGCATAACATTATACTTCAACAAGAGCTGACATTGTTCAGGCATCCCCCCTAAGAAGATCCATTTCCATGACAAAAAGGATCTGGTCACACACGGTGTGGTTTATTTCAATCACGGTGACACCGCACTTATGCAGAATGACTATGGCGCGCATTACTATCAGCACACCAAACCGATATCATCCGTGCCGGGAAAGGAGGGAGTAACGATGACAACTCGAGAACTATTCTCCAATCGCAATTCTTCCGCCACACTCACCATACCAACCTCCAGAGAAGCTAAACGTCTTTCTCTGCAATCCAACCGCGGGCATTCGCGCAGCTTCAGCAAGAATGAACCCCCGACTTCCCAACCCCAGCCCCAGCGAAATTACCGCATGTTCCCCGTAGGCGATTATTTATACAGCTTCGAGTTCCCAATCGATGGATCGTTGCCAGAGACGATCAAAACAGATTTGGGGTCTGTGAAATACGATCTAGAAGCAATGGTGGAACGGTCAGGCGCATTCCGACCCAATCTTCTAGGCGCCATGGAAGTCCCCGTGATTCGTACCCCTGCTGAGGGTTCATTGGAGCAAGTTGAGCCGATTGCGATTTCACGGAACTGGGAAGACCAGCTTCACTACGACATCGTCATCTCGGGGAAGTCATTCCCGCTGGGGTCGCAGATACCAATTGCCTTCAAGTTGACCCCTCTAGCAAAAGTAGAGTGCCACCGAATCAAGGTCTTTGTGACGGAGAATATCCAGCATTGGACAGCGGATAAGAGTGTGCACAGGTTGCAACCAGCGAAGAAGGTGTTACTTTTCGAAAAACGAGCAGACTCGTCCAGTGTGAGCACATATCCCGGCAGCTCCATGCGTGTCACCGCAGGCGGCGGCATCGACTGGGACCACCGCGCTGCTGCCGCAAGAGGGCAGGAGATCGTGGATCGGAATCGGACGAATCTGCTAGGAAATCTGTCCAATGATTCTGGTGTCGGTCCAACTGAGATGGAATTCAACGTGCAATTGCCAAGTTGCCACGAAATGAAGGGCCGGGATGAGGGTCAGCGGCTGCATTTCGATACCACGTACGAGAACATTCAAATCAACCACTGGATCAAAGTATGTCAAGCATCTTCCCTCTCTCTTGTCATAATGATACTAATAGATCCACGCAGATTGTCCTCCGTCTATCCAAGGTCGACGAAAGAGATCCTACGAAACGAAGACACTTTGAAATCTCCATAGACTCGCCATTCCACATCCTCTCCTGCAAGGCCACCCAGGCCAATATCTACTTACCCGCCTACACAACCCCAGCCGAAGAACCCCTCCCCCCAGCCCAAGAATTTGAATGCGGATGTCCCGGCGCACCCCTCGCACTCCGAGAGCAGATAATTGCCCCAGCGACGTCCGATCGTGAAGACGGTAACCCTGCACTGGGACCTGTGGCCCGCCGCGGCTCAACTGGCCACACCTTCTCCCGCAGCTTCACAAACGACTCCGGAGGCCTCGCCCGGCCCCCGCAAGCACACCTCGCAACACCACCAAACGACTGCAACACACCCACTCCACCTCGTCCAATGCATCTGCTCCGTGCGCCATCCTACGCACCCCCCGCTTTCGAGGATGTCCCTCCCGCGCCACCGCTTGTCACCCCACCTCCAGAATATAATACCATTGTCGGGGACGACCGAGAGGCCGTTCTCGAGGATTACTTCTCCCGTCTATCGTTCTACGAAGAGAACGAGGACGATGACCGCGGTCGTGGTCGCGTTGATGTACCCCTCACACCAGGTGGACGCGTCAACCGCAGCATGGACGTGCCCCGCGAATGGGTGCGACTCCAGGACTATTTCCAGTAATACCGCCCCTTAATTTTTTTTTTGAAAACAAAAGACAGCTGTGACGAGGTCTGAATCATGAATTTACGCTACTGTTCATATCGGGATTGGTTTCGGGCACGTGTTTTCCCGCGATTCTTTATGTCCTTTAAATCTGGGTCTGAAACTCAGACTGGCTCCATCTCTTTTTCGTCTTATTCTTTTCTTCTCTTTTGGGTTGTATTTGGAATTACCTTCTTTCCGTTCTACGGCACTTTGTTTATGATTAAAGGCCGGCTATACTTTTTGGTTGTTGATACTGGACTTCGTATTTCCTACGTCGGGGACAAAAGGCGAAATGGGTCATTTACTTAGATATCTTTTATGGATACATCAAGTGTCAGAACCATGCAGAAATACCCTAAAACTACGTATGTTGTAGACACCTCCTGGGCTGACCCTGGAGATAAGACTTGATGTGTCAGCGATAAGGGCAACCAAGGTTGGAAGTTGGAACGCATCCAACTGCCTCCCCCGGTTTAGCTCTCCCCACATCCCGAAGTCGTTTCTCGAACAGTCACGGCTTTTTCTCTCTCTCTCTCTCTCTCTCTCTCTCTCTCTCTCTCTCCTTCAATTACTTGCAGGGCCTATCCCAGATCGTCACCCAGAAGAACTACAGAGCTAGGTCCTACAGGGTCCCTTAGCGTATTTCGGGACTTTGAGACGGACTACGCCGATTGGCCCACACTTTAGCGGCATAGGTGAGTTAGCATATGTGCTGTAGACGGACTAAAATTAACCAAAGAACAATACTAACTACTTTTAGTGAGCAAAAAGCAGCTCTGATTCATCCTCAATAACTACATTCTTCAAGTCTCCGACATAGCGGGGCGTAAGGTGGCTTGTTGTTGTTGTGCGATATCTGATCCTTGCACCTGGAGATTTACCCGACATACAGACTCAGCAAGCTTTCATTATGGCTGTTGAGGTCGTACCTCTTACTGAGGCAGATATCCCCGGTGCTATTGAAGTGATTCAGCAGGCATTTGCAGATGATCCCTATTTCAAGTGGGTCTTTGATTCATCCAAGGTACGTTGCATGTTGAGAAACAACTACCAAAAAAGAAACAAGGCTCCCATCTTCTCTTACTCGCCAGACTAACATACATCTCTCTCGTGACGCGGTCAACTTGGCCAGCTGTTACGTCTCCTGAGAGATAACTCCGCGTATAGTTCAACAAGCAAAGAAACTATGATTCCCTCGCAGCACGTTGCCATTGGGGAATTAAGAATGCACTATTTCACGTCGCAAAAGAAACCCAAGACCCCGATTCCAAATCCCACAGCACCCCACTAACCTCAACCCCAATCCTCGGCGTCTCCTGCTGGCTAGCGCCCCACCCGCCCACGCAACCAGAGAGCTGGTACTCCTGGTTCCAATCATGGACCCTGTCCTTCAACCAGATGCTCAATAACGTCCGGTACTTTGGCCGCGGCGGGCTACGCACGAACAGGTACTGGATCTGGAAACAGCGGCAGGCCGAGGCGCAGGCTGCTATCTGGGATGATCCGCGCGGGTATTATTTCTGTAATATCGTTGCTGTTAACCCTGAGGCTCAGGGAAAGGGGATTGGGAAGTTGTTATTTGAGGCTGTTACGAAAAGGGCAGATGATGAGGGGGTCAAGTGTTATCTTGAGAGCTCGAAGAGTGTGCCCAATGTGGCGATCTATGAGCGCATGGGCTTTCACATGAGTAAAGAGATGGAGTGTCGGGATGGAGTGGATGCTTGCATGGTATGTACATTGTACTTGTTTTGTAGTGTTTGGACCTGCGGCTGGGGTTCGTTTGGGTTGTTGCTGACTCTGATTGTTGGTAGTTGTACTGCATGGTCCGGGATCCGAGGAAGGAATGATCCTTTTGCTTTTGATTTTGCTTTTGCTTTTATGACTTGGCTTAGATGCTTGCGTCATATTATGGTTTTGGCTCATAGCCGAATTAACAGTATTCTCATGTATCCGTCCACAATGAGATTAGAACAAGTTCGGACCGATGTCCTTTAATTTTAAGGGTTCCACATATCTAGTAACGAACTAAATCTTTCCTGGTAATCCTAACTCCGGTCCCATTGCAAACCAGCCCCAAAAATCCGACCCACCTATCTCCCAATCCACAAACGGGGCAAGATAGTTCGAATTTGATCGAATAATCGAGTCTAATATTTGCGGCAATGAAGTGCCATAGTGATCTGCAGGAACGCATCCACACTAGTCCATCCGTTTGCAACGATCTAACCCGGGGGAATCACCCATCAACCTTTCAATCAGATCATTCCTTACGGCTAGGATACTTGCATGTTGATCTGTTTATGTTGCTGCACTTAGACTAGAGGGGCAGTAGTCTCTAAATCCACATTTTAAGCTTATCGAGTCATATCCATGCTAATATGCCGACGTCCTAGCGGCCTGGTTTTCTGATCATCCCGGGTTTTGGATAGTGTTTCAGATCCAGTCTGGTTTAACATTGCACGGAGTGGTCGGACTCTTGCTTGTTGGAGATCCCCTTGTTGTGTCAAGGCTCATGCGCTGATCGAGGACATATATATCTTAGATTTAGAAAGGATCCCTAGGTTTGATGAACATTGGATCTCCAGTCAAGGGATTTCAGAACGACGCTTTTAATTAACTTGGATAAACTGAATTCCCTTCTTCAGTGCACATTGCTTTGATCATTACCATGTTTCTCCTTCTGCTACGAAAGCTATGGACCCGACGACGAAGATCAGGCACGGAGAAATCTTCCAATTCCTCGGCTACCTCCCAAGAGCTTAAATCCGAAGAGAACGGACCACATATACCTGATATAATCATGATTACTACACCACATCACGACGAAACAGACCAGATCGTCAATCAATTAGCCACCCTTGCAGCTACCGTGAGCAGCACATCAAGCAACCGCGCCCCATTATCGATTGCTGCCCCCATAGCAGAGCCTCAATCGGCAGCACCTAGACCTAAACTAGAACAACCAGAAGAAGAAACATTCTACTATCTTCGCAGTCTGATAACAGTCTCCTGCTTGCCACAGCATACATCAGGCCATACACCAACCCTCTCAGCCTCAACACTAAGCTCTAAATCAGGGAAACGCAAAAGTCAAATCTTTGATCGGAAAAGAGCCTCATCAATTCTGAGTTTACATCTTGGTGATCTGCCGAGTTTGCCGCTTTCCTCGAAAGGGAAAGTCTCGCGCAAGCCTTGCCCGAGGTACAGTCCTCTTCCTCCGCCATTTTTGCAGAAGAATCTTGCTATTCGGCCTGAGGTGCGTTTCTAGTGGCTCGGGATTGAGCAAAGGATGGGTTGATTATGTTATTTTGTATGCAGGTTGGAATTTTATTTTATTTGCGCTCTTGCTCTATGATATCCAAGGTGGGGATTCTTGTCTATCGCCTATCATACGATGTTCATATATTCATATACTGCTATTGAGTTGTTTGTTTTAATGTTGTTATCAATCCCTTATATACATGAAAAATTTGTCTGTATGTCCGATGCTTCTACCGCCTTCAGACCTATATTGTACCTCGGTATCTATGATGATCTACAGCGTAGGTGTTTTTATGCAACTTACGATGTAGTACGCCATGTAACCTTGTGACCTATAGTCTCCACAGCGCAGCTGTACTCTTTGTTTATTTACCGTGATTTACCAAAGAGGAGGTAATTTCATCTCTGAGTAGTTCGCTCACGCTAACACAAAACACATGACATGCCCACGCACACCTTAAACCCCCTGTAGGAAAGTGAAGCTAACTCCACTCTCGCGGAGCTAACTCGGGGAAAGGGAGCAGATCGTCGAGTTGTGAAGGCTAACGACTCGGCGTTCATTTCCGACCAATGGCATCCCGGCATTTACCTTGGGGTATGGAATCTCTTTTTTATACTAACCTGACTCAGTGGATGGATATAGGAGACAATCCTTAATAAAACAAACATAGGCAGTTGTATTCGTAACAACATGATTGCTTGCCTAGAAAGCCTGTCGAATAGTAACCATTCTAGATGTAGCCTTTTTTATATATATATCCTCTGGGTCTTGGATACCTACATACATATGCAGTGGACATGTGCAAACCATTCTGTCTGCATCGGAGGGATAGACACGAACGTGAAATCTAGGGCGAAAGTGACCTCGGGGTTCACATCATGTATGTACAACATGCGTGATGTCGATCAGTTTTGATATAATGTACTGATCTACAGACTGCAGATTACCCCCTGATTTTTATGTGTGATGCACGGATACATAGTAGTATATAATGTTGCAGACGGGCTCATCTCCGTTCCAGGTGAGATAATTGAGCAGTGATATTCGGGCCCGGCAGCGGCAAAACCTGAAACAAGACGTTTCAGCTAGTTTAGACTGGTAGAAGTGCCGGGATTTGCCCCCACTACCGACACATCTATTTGTTCGATTATATTAACGATCTCGAGGTTACGTATGTCGGGCACGACCCTCTTAGGGGTGGGTATGTAACCGGTTGTGGCTTCGGCTCTCCACCCTAAATTTCGATTTGCGCACAAACCGTTGTCAATGCCACTGATGATATATACATATTAGGGGGGCGGGGGGGGGTTGCCATATCATATCTGTTGTTAGACTTAGCCATGTTTATTGGATTTCTGATGCTGATATTATACCTAACAAAGTTGATATTTGCAGGTCTCTTGTCCATGGAGTCACGAGTGAAAACACATGGCGTGGGAATTAGGAACCGGCCGCGGTTGGGATTACCTAGATAGGCTAGAGACGTTGGGGTTTTAGTAACCAATCACCAAGTGTTCCAAGGTTGCCTACACAAGGTACCCACTTGGTCCTTAGAGAGAGTATCCTCCTGTTAGATTTCGCTTGCCGAGACACTACCTGCCTTTAGTATACAATATATGCATGGGACCTAGTCTTATTGAAGAAAATGATATGATTATAGAAGGGAAAACTACAAGATCGACAGCCCCCACCGGAGGAAATTAGATTGTTTCGTTGAAAAAAAACGTTGCAATTAAAAATACTCAGCGATAACATATGACCCGTTTTATCAACGAATCGCATGGTTTCCAGCCCAACTGAGTTCGTCGCCATATCCGGCAAACCGAGAATAGATGAAGTAGGAACAAGTACGCACAACCTTTTGTAATACTCTAACTGGATATTGATGTCCTGGTACACCGAGTCGACTGGGTTCTAGAGGGCACTGAGCCATACAGGTCTAGATGCGCAATTTTTACCTCAAGGGATGAGACCCCTGTCGGTGGCTCAATGGTGGAAATGATAGATATGTCGCCAGTATCACAATCATGGTTATGAAGTTCCCCGTCCGTACTTATCCGCGCCGCGGTCGTTCAACTATTAAGATATTATAATCAGTTGATTTTTATTATTTATTAACATGTGAAAAGAACAAGCCACGTTAGCTCAGCAAAAAGGCTTTGAACATGACAGTTTAGACATTAGTCTATATAGTTACCATGTGCAACATACCCTTATTTATAATTAGAGAGAGAGCCATTATATAAATCATCATAGGCACGGCAACCAGAAAAAAACACTCGGCAAAAAGGAAAGATTAACAGGAGTTACATCATATACAAACCACCTCAACCTAACTTCCATAGATCATTGTCCGTGCCACTTACCCGATTCAGCCGTCGGCATGGTTTTTATAATCTTCAGAGAGACATAGGCTTTCGGTAATTGTATGAAGACCGTTATAATCATCCCGATATGTACCATGATATCAACATCACGGCCTATTATTGAATGGATTCTGGGATATAGTTTCCAATAAGCGCCTGACACGGCACACAAGCTCATTCACAACCAACGACTAAGCTACTTTCTGTGATAATTGATGAAAGCCAAGCAAATAATTAATATATACAGAGCAACGCAATGGCCTAGCAATATATTAAACATAGCCCAGATGGAGGAATGGGCAGTCTTCGTGTGGGAAAAAAAGGGAAGGAAAAAAACGGAAAAGGAAAAGGAAAAGGAAACTCTAATAACCGATTCATTTCCGGAAAATCTTCGAACTAGCGTAAATAAAAAAGAGAAATCGGGAAATACAACATATGCATATGTATGTGAAACGGACTGAGCACACTTCCTCATCTTCACGGTTTACACTCGATGAATCCAATTTTATAGTTCGGGAATTAGTATTTCAAATAATCGCGAGCGGTCCATGGAACCCTAATGAGGCCTTCCAAGGTTCGCTATTTCGCTAATTCAGCTACACGGGCGCGTGGGCCGCCGGTCCAACCCTCCAGGGCTGTTTCGGAAGGCCATCTATCAGCCGTGGATCCACCACCTCGGGTTCTTCGGGTACCAAAGCCCCAACTTCTTATGTATTTATGGATGTATTTCCCAGGAGAAGGAGCCAATGGTTTCCTGAGTTCCCCAGGGCTTAAGAGTCTAGCTTATTGCATAAATTTTCACCCCTCTATTTTATATTTGACCGTTGCCGTCCCTAAGTCCCTTGCGGAAGTTACACGTGGCGTCCGTGAACTTGTATAATTCCAAGGAGAAATATAACCGAGAGATTCCAAGGTAAAGAAAGGGTAGGGGGAAATTTACGCATAAATGAAAAGAGTAAGTTAACTTGGGCACAGAACTCAAATAGCGAGAACGAGACTCTGTTCCTTGCAAGGGGAGAGGTGGCGTTATATCCAATCTCTACTTCTTCAATCGGCGATCCCGGAGCAGAGATTGCGTGGTCTTCGCTCTGTGTTGGGAATTCATAGTTCCATGAATTATACCCTGTAGTCTCAACAGATGACAAAAAAATGGATTCCAATCCTTCATATCTCCGTACGCCCTATCATAAAAAAAAGCACGGACTCGATCGGGGAGAACATCCAACCGTTGTGAGCGGACCAGCCGAAGCCGCACGAGGAGACATTCCGTAGGTGATGACCCTGCTGCGGGACCTACAGGAATCCTGCATTCGATGCCTCATTGTGGGACATAGGTTCCTAAATATCTCTCACTTGTTTGTTGCCACAGGGTATTTGTATTTCCATTTTGGGGCGGTTTTCTTTCTGTACTGTTGGGGCAACCCCCCTTTTCCCCCTGGCCTAGGCATGGCGGGATGTGATGGCAGAGACAACAAACACGTTGCGCATATGGCCCCTGAGGAGATAGACTGAATGGATTGGATTGCCTATCTGGAAGAAGTTGGGTCCGAACGTTGAGAACCAGTCAGCGAGATCCGTTCCGTGTGCATGAGCATTCCACAAGCATGTGATTTTAGGACTATGTTGAAAATCAGGTGAGTAATTGTACAATATATATATATAATTTTTTTTTTACCTCGTCCTTTAGAAACAGATTATAACAAGATGAACTAAAACAGATGGATCCCGGCCTTTAAAGTGAACCTGAAGCCTAGGGCAAAACCTTGAAATTGAGGCCAAGAAGTCAGAAGGTTCACTCGTCTAAGTCACATATATACAAACCACCAAACGCCCAGATAAGGTACCAGACGCTAGAAGAGACAATAAGAACCAAGAAAATAATACAATGAGTCTGGAAAACATAAAAAAAAAATAAAATAAACGCTTGCAAAGACAATAAACATTAATACAAAGCAACCAATAACCCGAAGTATTGAAAAACGGGTCACAAAACAAAGTTTAAACGGTCACGGTTTGCCCCACAAATTCAAATAAAAGAAGCGGAATTTTAGAAATTTGTCGATCATAGTCACGTAAAAATGGTTGAAATGTTTTTTTCGGAGAGCCGCGTTTCTCGGTGGAGGTCTCTCCCCGAATAGTTCCTGGATGGAGTCATCCACGCCAAGAACCATGGATAGGAGAAAGCGGGATGGGAAACTTTAGAAAATGCCCTTGACCGAGTTTCAGATGTGAAAATTTTGCTTTGAGTGCCCGGGGGGCCAAAGTATCGGGGGAGAAAAAAAGTAGGCAATTATCGAGCAGACGAGCAAAGTACACATTTGCCCACTACCACAATGAAGCGGTCGTGTGGGCCGTCGTTGCAAGTGCTATTGTCTTTTGTTCCCTCCATTTCGGTGCGGAGGAAGTGGGCGGCGGGATTGGAGCAAGTGGAATATATGTAGAAGTTTTTGAAAAAGTTGCACATTTCGATCCCATCGGGGGGGGGGGGGGGGGTTTATGAAATTGGCTGCGATGGCGAGAGGGAAATATAAGAGATGAAAATAAAAATCCAAGCTGTGTGACAGATATTGGAGTGTGATGGATGAGATATAGATATTCAGTAAGGAATTAGGAAAATATAGATGGAGGCTCGACGAGATATAAGAGTAGTTTGCTCTGGAGAGGTGGATGCCATGATGCCTAATGGCATGGGAATAGATAAAACAAAATAAATAAAAAAGATAAAAAGATAAAAAGATAAAACATAAAAGATTAAAGATAAAATAAAATAAAAATTAAATTAAATTAAAGCAAATTCAAGAAGAAATTTACTTCCATAAGGATGGGTAAAGATGCAGTATACAGTACTGCACGGCAACCTCCCTCCCCACCATCCCCACCCCCCCTAAAGACCCTTGTCAAGAAAGCGGGTCCTGCATAAGGAGAGGCTTTAATTTCTATGACCGTCGAGAGACATTTGTTTTAGGGTTTCTTTTTAGTTTTTAATTCCAAATTTTTGTATATTAATTTTTTGGGGCCAAAGCTTTTGTCAAGAAAGAGACGGGACGGGCATTACAGAACATCGGGTAGATGGGAGATCGACACGGTTCCTCGCAGCCGTTGATGCTTCTTAAATTCACACGTGGCGCTAGTCGGGATCTTCATGCATAAGGCAAATACCTCCGGCAGTCTCTTAAATCTCGTGTGAGAATTTAAGCCAAATTGTCACCTTGGCACTGCTTGTTCTCTTTTTCTTTTTTTGTAGAACCAGGCGAATACGGAGGATTTCTGTTGTTGGTAGAGAGTCTGGTGACGACAGTTGTAACATTGTGCAAGATTGGGCCCGTTAGGAAACCGGAAAAAGGACGTGTTGGGCAGTTGGACCCGGTGACAGGGTCCAATAATCAACCCGAAGGATTTTTCTTTATTTCTTCATTATTTTTTTTTTTCATAGAAAAAGAGGAGTTTCATGTTTGAGCCTCGGTGCCTCATAACAATCAACCTTGACAGATAACTCCAAGCCAAGGCATATGCAGATTTAAAAGTTATATAATGTGTATTTTATCATCTTAAAGTGAAAATTACCCTTATTCAAGAATCACACTATGAGTCGAGTACACGGCCATTATGCATAGAGCAAACAAAGACTTGCCAGAGGAAGACAACAAACTGTTCTAGGATCGTTCAAAGTAGTAGTGTCGATGACAGCAGACTAAAGGATCGGAGAGCTTATCTCCGATCTATAGTATACGGAAAAGGACTTTCCGTCGCACTCGTGCCATCTCTATGCCGCCAATCGAAAAGTCAAAAAGAAAAGGGGGCTTTATACAGGGTTGGAGGTTTTGTTTCGACCTCAGGATCAAAGACCCTGGAAGCCATGCCCCATAGATGAAACTTGATGCAATGGACACCTTTTATTTTTACCCCTTTCGAATATCTGTGGAAGCCGATCATCAGGCAATCTACATTACAAATACTCAATATCTGTGTGACAAAATCCATCCAGCACAAACCACCCCTTCTGCGGGTTTGCGTCGTTGTACCCGTTAAGAGACAACTTGCCTAACTGGGCAGCTGGTCTGGCGAAGAATTGAGACGGCCAGATCTACAGGCAGTACCAGGAGACCCTGGATTGGCAACCCCTGGTCGTTAAAACAGGTGATGGTGCGACAATGCCCCGGTTGCAGGGTCCACATACAGAACTTTAATTCAATGGACGATACATCCCTGGTACAATATATACAACTAGGATTGTACATGGATACTGAGGGTAGCCGGGATTACGCTGTAAAGAAAGGAAACAAAGGGAAAAAAAAAAAAAAAAAAAAAAAAAAAAATTGCAGCCTAAAATAAACTAAAACTAACCTCAGCTAACACCCAAACCTTTAAACTGCAGTCCAATAATAATGGTCAGCATGGCACCATATGGGGCATTATCCTAGTCTTCATCGTATCTTAAGACCATCGCGCTGTGGAGACCGAAAAAGTAGACATAATAGCCTGCCGCAGTATCCGGTATAGTATCCGGTATAGTATCCGGTGTAGCCTCAACGATGCCTAGTCATATATATTTCTAAATTGGGGTTGAACAGTGAATGGTATGTCGCACATGCCTTGACCCCTTAAACGAGTTATGGTTCGGCTTGGGCCGAGTTCGGACCCGAGTCACATGAGATCACATCTTTGATCCATTCCCCTTTTGGTCTAGTGTTTCCGATCGATATCTGAATGACTAAGACCTCTAAGAGCGGACCTCCCAGGCGGTACCTAGCAACGACGCTAAACCTACAAAGGCGATTTCAATCCCGTGATCTTGAAAACGAAAACTGAGACACTTCCCCCTCGCATTAACGATTCACACAGGGGCGATCTGACCTTCGAAATTTGCAAGCAGAGGCTATCCGCAGATTGAAATAGTGCAGCTGGGGTGCAGAAAGAGCCGCGCTGGTATTGGGGACCGAAATACAACCTGTCAACTCCACCATCCCACCCCGTCGTTGTGGAGACCAGCCGTCCACTCTCGACATTCGTGACCCGCCACTGCAAACTCCAACTGTTTATTGTTGCACTTCTCAACATCCCAGTGACCAGGCATCATGGGGTTCGGTCAGTTCGACACAATATGCGAGAAGGCGCCCGTGCCTTTGTGCTCCTTGGTGGGCCCGGCGTCGACAATCTCCGGGTCAACAGGCATCATAGCCAACTGCTATGCGCGGAATATTGAGGTTGCAAATACCATCATTTTCGAGGGGGCCGCGTCCTTTATGCACATCATGGCGCTTAGCATGACGGTGATCATGATCTTGCATGTTCGGTCCAAGTTTACTGCCGTCGGTTCGTCTGGCTCCCTATTTGCTGACAACTCGGCGCAAACCGACTAACCTTTTCACTATAGGCCGTAAAGAGATCATCACTTTCTTCTATATCTACCTAGCTCTGACACTGTTCTCTCTTCTCATTGATGCAGGTGTCGTTCCTCCAGGGAGCGGCCCGTTCCCGTACTTCGTGGCTGTCCAGAACGGCTTGATATCCGCGCTATGCACTTGTCTTCTCGTCAACGGGTTCGTCGGCTTCCAGCTGTACGAAGATGGCACAGCCCTCTCTGTGTGGTTGATCCGGGTCCCTTCCGCAGCAATGTTCGCTCTTTCGTTTGTGATATCGCTGGCGACTTTCAAGTCGTGGGGTTCGATGGGCCCCCATAATACCACTGGTTTGTTCGTGGTGTTATACCTGTTGAACGCCATCTCCATAGCTGTGTATTTGGCCATGCAATTTCTCCTAGTCTCGAACACATTGGATGATCGCTGGCCGTTGGGTCATATCTCCTTTGGTGTGTTGGTCTTCATCATTGGCCAGGTTCTTTTGTATCAATTCAGCGACGTTATCTGCAACAACGTGCAGCATTACCTGGACGGCCTTTTCTTCGCTACATTCTGCAATCTTCTCGCTGTTATGATGATATACAAGGTAAGTTCCTGTTTCATATTTCATGTTTGTGGCGTTGGTCTTGCTAACATTTCTTTTAGTTTTGGGACTCAATTACCAAGGAAGATTTGGAATTCTCAGTCGGCGTCAAGCCAAATACTTGGGAGGTCAAGGAACCGCTATTTGAGGAAGAGCGCCGAGCTACGGTCTACCCCGACAATAACTCCGAGTATGCGGGCAGCATGTACCACCATCGCTCTTCGGCGTACGGTCATCATAATTATTGACCATATGTCTTTATTTCTTCTCATTTCATTCATTCTAACGCTGTATATGTGACTATTAGCTTCATCATATCTTGTTTATCTCTTTTTCATACATATTCAAATGCTTCCACCATATTAGCACGTTAAAGCATCCTTTAGGGCATGGATATAAATTACTTCATCACATCATAATCACATTAATGATCGATAGGAGTACAATAATTGGATAATTGGGAGATCCTCCGCTTTTTGCTCTTCCGAGCTCTTCCGATCAAGGTTTGGCTTAGAGAGGACTCTACATACGTGGTGCCATTTACCACTAGTGGGATCGAAAGGATTCCGGTATGAACTCAATTTGCACTGTTGATATCTCGATCACACATAACTCCGTACATATCGCGCTCTAAACTGTGGTCCCGGAAAATAAAATGTTAATCCTGGTGTATGTCTCGGACTTCGCCTCTTCGTTTCAGCCCAGTGCTAAGTTCATTTCGGAAGAAGGTGGCGTCCGTCATCTTTGTCGAGGCCCTAGACCCCTGGACACAGGCTATACAACAAGATCTGTAGGATAATGTGAAATAAATGAAAAACTGGAAAGTGTTACTATGCATTATAATGCATCCTTCCGTGGCATTTTGCGGCGCTGCAAATCGGCCTGAGCAAATCCCGAACATCTCGGGGCCACGTCATCCCAGTTCAAGGATGTGATCGCTATTCCGTAGGCAGACGATAATTGATAGAGTAAAACAAGTGGTATATGTCAGCACTGCCACGTTCCACAACAAACCAAAGCCCACCGGGACGACTGCGGGCATGATAACTTAGAAAGGCAGAGTGGAGCAAATACGACGGCGACACCTCGTTCTGGATGTTGCGGGACGATCAAGGCCCGTTGGGGTTTTCCTTGCGTGCGGAGAATAAGTTTCGATACCATGGTAATCAGAATTTCGTGCATACTATTCGCTGGGCGCCAGGTGCAGTGCATACGACCGAATTCTAAGTAAGTGGTCTGCCGATCAGGGGAGGGGTCCCATGGGTAGAGTTCTTGTAGAACGGTAGAACGTTCTAAAGCGGTAATAAAAACAAGGGGGAATTGTGGAGCGGCATGTTCGAATCGAGATTTGCGATCTCAGTCAACGATGACAACGTCATCACCATCCATAAAGTCCCCATCCGTTTTGGATTTTGTGTCCCGTGTTGCCTGTGGTTGTTTGATATCGTCTTTCTTGGCCGGACCCGTGGACGAATCATACCAGCCCTTGTCTATTGACTTGACCAAGACTGCGCACGCTTCACTGAGCATTTCGAAAAATGCAGGATTCTCTTTGGACAGAAACATGGTGACATGGGCGTTGGTTTCGTCAGTAGCCTGATCGTTAACTGCCTTGGTCCACAAAAGCCCTGGGCTTTGAGATTCCTCGCCACGTTCCACCTCCGCTGGCAATGCACAGAATGTCCTATTCCTCGACCTGATAATTTTTTGACTAAAGGATGTTTTGTTTGCCGATGTGTTTTCCACCAGACTCGTCGCACCTTTTCCAAGGCATGTGTAGAAGTTCGCACACCCGATTCCACGTTCCTCCTTAACATTCGACAATCGCACGAGACGCTGGTGCAATTCCGACGTGCGCGTGAGACAACCGACAAACTCAAGGTGTGATGACACCCATCCAAGCCCGTCAGTGAGCTTCTGGCGCTGCGTATACATGGCTGCACCGCCAGCGGCAACAGCACCAGCCGCGCCGGCGAACATGGCATACTTACCCCATCGTTGCCAGGAAGGTGTCGCGGCGGCGTCGGGTGTGGAAGACGACACTTTGGGTGGCTCTTGTGGGGATGCATGGGTGGTCCCCTGGTTTGATGCACTGCCTTTTCCACTGTAACCGAATAATCCTGCAACCTCTGAGAATGTGTTGTAAGCGGTTGCAGCATTGTGGTAGTGTCCTTCTGCGCCGTACGATACGACTCCTGGTGCTATTCCCAAGAATGGAGTGTCGAATGCAAGCACGCCTTGTATATGGGGGAACATGAAAGTACCCGGCTCCACGACAGATTCGAGGTCGTCTGTGAACCCGGACTGTGTATTTGTAGTCGGATTCCGAGGAATTGGTTGTTCCGCTGCCAGCATAAGGAGAGCCTCTGCTGCCACTATTCCTCCCATTGAGTGACCGATAAGAACAACATGGACAGAGGGATCGACGGTAGGCGATGCGGTATGGTTGGCGACTTCGAGATCAATCACAGTATCTTGTAGCCTGCGAAGAATAAGTATCGTCAGTTAGTAAAGCTCGTATCCATTCACATAAGGGACTAGACCGAGTCTTACCAATCTCGCAATCTCGCCACGCATTCTTTCAAGTCACCTTTGGTTTCATACTTGGGGTAGACAGCAGTGACGACCTCGACCGCAGGAAGTGCTCTGCTGGCGTGGGCCCGCAAATGTTGAGGGAACGTGCCAAAAGTATCATCGCCGCCCTATAATCGGAGTTGGTCAGTCAACGTTTCTAGACCAAAAACAAATCTCTTTAAGTTGAAATCTGTAATTCTTTGCGAGTTGGCCAGGGCTTGAGTAAGCAGGCATTTGGCGTACCTTGAAGCCGTGAATAAAGACGAGTAGCAGAGTTTTCCTCATTTTGAAATTCTCAGACAGCCATGTTCATAAAATAAACATACGGAGTGATTCGGCCAAGCGGAGGAATCCGAGACTCGACTTGGTCCCAAGGTCAGAGCTGTTGATTTTAATTACGTCATTATGGTAATCACGTGGCAGAGTGATATGCACAGGTATTAGAATTGGTTCAAAGGTTCGGATTCTGTGAATATATTGTGGATTTTACTCTGGCTGGGGGATATGTCTCCAAATTGAATTTTCTATTCATTTGACTTTTGGATGCTGCAAATTATATATCCCGAAAGACCACACTGACCCAAACGCTTGCATTCCAACTTATAAACTCCAATTTGACCCGGATATCCAGCATATTTGTCTCATTCCCAACGCCACATTAAGACAATGCTTTCAAGTTCGTGGCTGAACCTCAGAGTTAACCCCAAGAACAATTGGCTGACCGTTTTAGTGTGAAACGGCACATTCGGTGACATGACCAGACCGCAAGCTTTCCATGCCACTGTTGGTGTTTCCAATAGCATTGCCAGTTACCGAAGAGGTGCAAGGTTCCTTTGTATTCGGTGGTGGGATAGTTTTACCCGGAGCGGTGCTAACAAGCCCCTTGGATACAGCAAAGCAGGAGGAGCGGTCGTGATTAAGGTTCTCGCCATAGAATTCATCAAGAATTGGATGAAGCATAACAGTCTGCTTGTGAATGGTGACAACTGAGTTGGTTGGGACTGACACCCAATTGTCTGTATGTAGAATTAGTATAAGTTCATAGGTATTGGTGGTGGTGGGGGGCGGGGGGAGAGGGAGAGAGAGAGAGAGAGAGAGAAAGGGTTCTCACGTCGTTCAAAGGTGATGGGCTCACTAGCCACGAGGACAATATCGGCACCTTTATCGTGTCGCTCCATCTTGAAGTGTCCTTTCGTTTCACCTTCCTTCCACTTGGTACCAGAAGAGAAATACAAGCTGGCAGGCTCGTCCGTTTTGCTGCTAATGTACCGAGTGCAAACAACAGTATGGCCATCTGTCACAGCAAAGTTCAACAAACTTCGAGTCTCAACTCCGGTGACATTATATTTCTCTGGAATTTCTTTGACCATTTCATTGATTCTAGCAATGGTCTTCATCAAAACTCGACGTAGAAGAGCCTGTCCGAATCCCTCAGGACCGGGGTCAGAGCTTGGATCGACTCCTTCTTTTTCTAACAGGTCAAGGAACAGGGCGAATGCCCACTCACTGTCGGTGCCACCTTTCACACCTAGGTACCACTTATCGGCAAGTGAACTCCCCAGCGTACGCTTGATGTAGCTCCACCCGCCGATACCACCATTGTGCATCCACATTAGGGACTGGTGCTGGAACGGGTGGCAATTGTTCTCGGCAAGAGCGCCCTCAGTTGTTGCGCGCACATGCGCAAAAATCAGATCTGAGCATGTTTTTGCAGCGAGTCGCTCTAGATTCTCACAGTTCCAGGCGGGCAGTGTTGAGGTAAAGATGCAAGGTTCTGGTCCAAGCTTGGGATCTGTGTAGAAACCTACACCAAACCCGTCACCGTTGACAGGACGGCGATTGTCCTTGATATTACATGTTAGTGGGATGTGATACGCTGACCACGTGGGTCTGACCCAGCGAGATGAGATAACCTACCAGTCTCAGACGTGAATCGTATGATTGAGTAAGGATTGAATGACTTGGCTCGGTTATCAGCTTGCTGAGACGAATCTCATTTCGCCCTTTGTATATCTTATCGAGATATTATTAGCTTTGGGCCCAATGTTTGGAGGGATGGGCCATACCAGGAATCGGCACATGTTTGATTTGGATCAAATGCAATTGGAATGACACCGTATCAAATCCCACTTCCAACTTTACTAATAACTTCAGGATGTACTCCAAACTTGTAGTTCCAATAAGGGTTCAAAGGATGTATGGGGGTTGGGACGGATGAAGAGTCACCGCCTGTTGGGAACCGGTGAGATGTCCAAACGTCAACCACGATCTTGTAGCTCAAAAATAATGTATTCAAGCTGTAATTTCGCCACGGGGTTACAAGAAGGGAAGATTGTTTTTATCGAAATCAGCACAAAATCAACACAAAATCAACACAAAAGAATAAAGTCACTTCCCTTGCACATCACGTCATATTTCACGTGACGTGGTATTACGGGAAGCTACGCGGCTACTTGCGCAAGTCACGGGGACTGGCTTGATGTCACATGTGCAGTGGTCCGGTAATCTACGAGGCTATCACTTTTATTTTCAGTTCTATTGAATGCTACCACAACAATAATGAGTGGGAGGATACTCTCCCATCGGCTAGGACCGCTATTGCGGAACGGTCACCTAACTCGCCATATTCATAATGCAGGCTCGAGGACCGGCGGCCTGCTACGCGCAGATGGTGGCGCTGCTCTTAGAGGACGCGCATGGCCAGTGGGCGCAAATGCCATCCACAATGTCCCCGCTGTTCGATCAATTTCATTTGCTCGCATGCTTCCGAAGCTGGCATTGAAGCTTGTCAGGGTTCCGGCTATGTTCGGCGGTGCAACAATCGCGGGTCTAGCTTATTTCCAATATCAAGCAACTCGTATGTCTCTTGTGAATGAAGCTCGCTACAGGTGGAATATTAAGCTGATTTAATCTCACAGAGGCCGGTAACTATGCGATGGATGTCTTCAGGCAAGCCTCGGAGACGGCGGGGAACACAGCTTCGACCTTGTTCCAAGGACTGCAGGACATGGCAGATCAGACACAACGCGGGTGGAATAAGACGACCGAAGACATCGAAATACCTGACTTGCTGCAGAAGGTGTTACGTCTCGACGAGGAGTCTGAGTCTCGAAAGGGCGATTCATCTGGTGGAGGCAAAAAGCCAAAACAAAGTCGGGCTGGTACTGCTGCCGCTGCCGCTGCTACTACTACGGCGTTTGGATATGACCAATCCGGGGAGGAAGATTTACGGCCGGGGAGAGATGCTGCGGAGGATGACCAAATGATGCTGCTCACACGCAAAATGATCGAAATCAGAAATATTCTCCAGACCATCGGCCAGTCCGGCACGCTTACTCTTCCGTCGATCGTCGTGATTGGATCCCAATCGTCGGGCAAAAGCTCAGTTCTTGAGGCTATCGTCGGCCATGAGTTCTTGCCCAAGGGCTCGAACATGGTGACTCGGCGGCCAATCGAGCTCACGTTGGTCAACACCCCCAACGCCCAGGCGGAATACGGTGAATTTCCGGCCCTAGGCCTCGGAAAGATCACGGATTTTTCTCAAGTTCAGCGCACACTCACAGATCTGAACCTTGCCGTTCCTGAAAAGGATTGTGTCACAGACGATCCCATCCAGCTCACGATATATTCCCCCAACGTTCCGGATCTATCTTTGATCGACCTTCCGGGATATATTCAGATTGCAGGCCGAGACCAGCCCCCAGAGCTCAAGCAAAAGATTGCCGATCTTTGCGATAAATACATTCAGCCGCCAAATGTCATTTTGGCGATCTCGGCCGCCGACGTTGACTTGGCAAACTCGACAGCACTTCGAGCCAGTCGTCGAGTAGACCCTAGGGGTGAGCGGACTATTGGCGTGATTACGAAGATGGACCTTGTGAGCCCTGAACGTGGCCACGATGTCCTTTCCGATAAAAAATACCCCCTTCGGTTAGGTTACGTGGGTGTGGTTACCCGGGTTCCTCAGACAACAGCTCTCTTTTCTAGAGGCTCTGGAAACATTACCAGCGCCATTCTCAAGAATGAACATGCCTACTTCTCTGCGCATCAGAATGAATTCGGACCCCACTCTGACGTCTCAGTTGGTGTCTCGACACTGCGGAAAACGCTAATGCAGGTTCTTGAGCAGACCATGTCATCTAGCCTATCTGGAACCAAAGATGCCATCAGCCAAGAGCTTGAAGAGGCAACCTATGAGTTCAAGGTTCAATATAATGACCGACCTTTGAGCGCGGAGTCCCACTTAGCTGAGAGCCTCGATGCTTTCAAGCACTCCTTCAAGGCATTCGCGGAGAGCTTCGGGCGACCGCAGGTTCGGGAGATGCTCAAAGCAGAATTGGACCAGCGGGTCATGGACATTTTGGCGCAGCGCTACTGGAACAAGCCAGTCGATGACTTGGACCCTCCACTGCTGGAATTAGATCCCCTCAAGGACCTCCCCAAAGCCGATCCCGAGTCGCTATATTGGCACCGGAAGCTTGATGCCTCTACCTCGTCATTAACAAAGCTTGGAATTGGTCGGTTGGCTACGACTGTTGTCGCCAATGCTCTCAACAACCATGTGGACTCGCTTCTAGCCTCGTCTACGTTCGCCTCTCACCCTGGTGCTCACAAACAGATCGTCGACGCATGTACCAGCATCCTAAATGACAAGTTCTTCAGCACCAGCGATCAAGTCGAAAATTGCATCAAGCCATATAAGTTTGAGATCGAAATCGAGGATCCTGAATGGACTAAAGGCAGAGACAACATGGGCAAGGTTCTCAAGGAAGAGCTCAAGTCGTGCGAGTTGGCCATGAAGCATGTGGAAGATATTGTTGGAAAGCGAAAACTTAAAGACGTTATCTCATTTATCGATAGAGTGCGAAAGGGCGACGTAGTACTAGAGGGCAACGGCGAAGGTGGCGCGGGTGGTTTCAGTGCCGCCTTGTTGGAGAGAGGTTGGTATTTCCCTCTTTCTTCTATTTACAGACACTAACATATATTATCTAGGACGAGAAGGCCTCTTCCTTCGGGACCGAGCGGATCTTATCAAGATGAGACTGCTCGCCGTCCGCTCCAAGCAATGCGCAACACAAAAGAACAAGTACTACTGCCCAGAGGTCTTCCTGGATGTTGTGGCAGATAAACTCACCTCCACCGCCGTTCTATTCCTCAACGTCGAGCTCTTATCTGAGTTCTACTATAATTTCCCACGTGAGCTTGATTCAAGACTTGGACGACACCTTTCAGACGCCGAGGTTGAGCGGTTTGCCCGCGAGGATCCCCGCATCCGCCGTCACTTGGACATCATCCGCAAGAAGGAGCTGCTAGAGCTGGCTCTGCAGAAGATCGAAGGCATCCGACAGCTTGACGGCCGCACCCGGAAATCAGAGCGTGCGCCTCCTGGAAAGGAAACGCGAAGCCGTTGGAACCTTTTCTAGAATATCCGATGTTTGGGCTTTCCGACTCTTCCCCCTTATTGCCTATGCGAACCACTCGTTTCTTTTTTCCTTCTCAATCTGGAGTTTCGATACCTCTGCTAGTGTTCTCATCACTCTCTTTATCATGTTTAGCCATCTTCTCCTCTTACCCCTTCCTCTTGGGCTAGTATGTATCTCTAAATGTTTTGAATCAATGTACATAGTTCTCGGCCGTTCATCCCAAACTCGATAATCTACTCCTTGGATTATTCTTTCTACATTCTTGATCTGTAGAAACCCTCGCTACCCCGGAAGTTCGGCTGGCAAGTACCTGGCCTACATATGAACGTATGAGGATTCCTATCAAAGGGCTATATTACACGAACACTATGAACTCTATGGACAGTGCTCCTTGTCCCCAGTCAGTAATCATTTTCTTGATCTCCTCCAGATCATGAAGAATGCGTACCAGGCTATTACCATAGCGATTCCAAAGATATTATCTGCCATTTGATTCCAACAAGAGGCCGTCCAAGTCATGAGACAGCGGTACGCAATTTGTGAGGTTGTAAGTATCGGTCATGCGCTTTTGAGCACCATATTCTCCCTTCCATTCATCATAATTAAGCTTTGCTAGGCTCATAGGCTCTGCCCGCCAAGTTGGACTCCCTGGTGGAGGGTCGGCTTTTTTGAGAAATATAGTCTGCGGCACTAGACCAGCAAGCCTTCTGGATTCGGCGAGGAGGTTTCCTATTGGGTTAACAAAGTTCATATCAGGCATAGAGATATTTTGGGCTATGCAAGTCTATAAAAAGGAATGGGATGGTTTGTACTTTGTTTATTCTTCTTTCACGGTACCCCTGTTATTGTTCGACTATTTCTATTTGTAGTCCGATAGATCCATAGGCCTTTGATAATCCATGCTATTTTGTGCACAATTGACGGTTCTTTCATGATATTAGTTGTGATGTCCTCGACAAAGGCGCAAGTCCCCAGTAACTATGGGATTACTATTTAAACGGTGACTTGTCCACAAAACTCCAGGGCTACCTAGGACAATAGCACAATAGAACAATCGCAATGTCAATAGTCCCGAGCTCTTCCACCGAGGCATATTTGCCGGCTTGTAATGGCCAAGTGAACTTGAGGGATGCATATACTTGGAGCCTAACACAAGTAAGTGGCTGCAACTATGAACCGGTCCACCTCCCTTTTTTTTAAAAAAAAAAAGATAACTAACTAAAGCTACCTAACTATGCTTAGATCAAAGTTTTCATGATCGAGATTATAGACAAGCATTCCACCTATGGAGTCGAACGAAGGGTCGTATCAGAATTGAAAAGACTACGCACCGATATTCTCGATCTCAGGTGAGTTGGATGTCCGCTAGACTTTGTGTTCTGTCAACTAATCGGATGCTTACAGTGAAAATGGGACCAGATATCAATCTGAACCCTCCTCCCCCCAGGCGATTTCGAGGATGGTTAACCCAGCAACAGCCAGCGAGGATGAATCATACTTCTTATTAGATAAATTGACGTATGGAGGTGTTTCATATTGGAGCTCCTTTGACCTTCTAGGTAGGTTCATTTCCCTTACTGGACCAGCACCCCGAGGTACTACACGGGACAATTTCTACTTACCTCTAACACTAATGTACATCAACTGGTATCGCAGAATAGCTCCGATGGCCTCGTCCGTGTATTCGTGCGTCTGGGCAGAGCAAAAGGATAAGCAGAGCCGCTTTCACCTAGGATGATCGCTCGCGGGGTATCGCAATCCAGAGGGGCTGGGCAACCGCTGGGTCAAAATTCTGCAACGAGCTCGTTTCAATCTTCGTGATCAAAGAACTGACACAGCAGGAATAAAATTCGAGTTTACAACTTTAACGGGTCGAGGAAGCCATGCTATTCCTTTTGGAAACTGCGCAGAAACCTATCCTCTCGTGAATGTCCTACGGTGAGTCCATGCCTTTGAGATCCTGTACGTTCTGTGCTAACGAATTAGGAACCGTACCCCTAGTGAGGAGGTGTATAGCTTCGGTGATGCTTAGCAGACTACCCAAAGAGGGCCTATATAGCCACTTGCAAGCATTGGATGCAATGACTAAACCTTGCACTAATTGTCAACAGGTGATAACCTCGTGGGGCGGGAAAGTAGAGAACTTCATCACAGATGATATGTCAGAGAAAAGTACCATTTCAACTTTTAAGGTGCAATCGCCTACATCACCTGACCCGGGAGCATCTGGATCGAAAATCGTGTTAGCAGCCTGTCCTAAACGGGCTTCTCCAGCAGACAACGATGAACCTGCGGCGAAAAGGGCTAGAGGCCCGGCACCTAATTCTCCTAGAAAGCCATCTTATTTGGTCAAGGGAAAAAGGCAAACAGAAGTGAAGATGTAGAGAGATGTGTAAAGTTTTTAAAGTACTCTCGTTTTTTTAGATATCTATATATATATATAGGTAAACTCTGTGAAGCTCTGATATTCAAACCAAATAAATGTGATTATCTGAACGAATATATACTGTTCTTAATATCCTTAATTGACTTCAATTATCGAGCTTTTATAGTACTAAGTTTACTATATTCTCCTCTTTCCTTTCAGTATACGCATCGAGAAAACATAGGGAGGTGTGCAGTTGGGAAGTGCGCGTACAGAGCGTGAGAACGCACACACAGGACGGGGATGGAGATATGTGATGTTGATCCGCAGAATAGAGAAAGGAATGTCGTCCAGCGATCAAGAGGTGGAATCCAAATATGCAGTGTGATAGCGCTACAATATCCGAGGAAGAAAAACACCTCATAGTTGGAAATGACAGATTCAATACAACAATCCCAGACCCAGTCTATATATTCCTATAGCGTACAGTACAGTCTTGAAAATCGGAAGCGAAACAAAGAAGACGCGAATAAATGCTTTTGTCTCAGGCCGGAACCAACTGCAGCACCAAAAGTGTGTCAAAAGAAAAAGACGGAAAATGGATATGTCTATCACGGTCACAGGTGCAAAGAGAGATAAAAGACAAGGATAGTGGGGGATGGCATAAGGGGGGGGGGGGGGGCGTAGCGGGATACATTGCACAGTCAATGTGTCAGGAAAGGCATTGAATAACCAAAAGAAAGAAGTAGTGTGGCTGGCGATATTACAGAAGATCATCGAAACCGGGTGTAGATGTTTACTCCCGGGAGACATCACGACCGAAGAGACGAGCCTTGACCCAGTCGACACAGACAAGGACACGGTTGCGAGCTGGATTATATGTTAGTGGTGAATCTCAGTCAGTATTGGATAGAACGTGGAACTTACTGCTGAAGCACATGCTCAGGTAGGCACTGCGCCAGAACAGGTAGGTCATAGTACCACCGCTGGCGATGTTGCCGCTCAGCCAGCTGATATCGGCGACGGCACGCTCCTTACCGATGTAAGCCAAGGAGCCCTGGTGCGAGTACTGGAAGGGACCGATCTGCTTGTTGCGGCGGAGCTGCTTCTGGCGCTCACGAATCTCGTCGAAGATCTGGTTGCGCTCCTCGTCGCCCTTGGCCTGGGACTGACGCTCTGAGAGGGCCTCCAACTCTTGCTCGAGGGCCTCGGCCTTGGCCATGGTGTTGAAGAGGCGACCCAAGAAGGCACCCTCCTGACCAGCAACCTGGGCGGTTGGGGCGTAGTTGGCAATGGCGCAGTCGCCGACGGCCCAGACGTTCTCGGTACCGTTCACGACGAGGTATTCGTTGACAGCGAGACCGCGGCGGGACTCGGCTTGAGCGGGGATCTGGGACATGAGGTCACGGACGACGCTGCGGACAGCGTTACCGGTGGCCCAAACGAGAAGACCGTAGGGGATAGTCTCAAGCTCCTTAGATCCATCGGGCTTGGTTACCTCGGCCTGGATGTACTTGTCAGTAACCTTCTTGACCATAGTCTTGGCGCGGATGGAGATCTCCTCCTCCTTGAAGGTCGATTCGGTGTAGTCAATCAGTTGCTTTGAGAACATGGGAAGAACGTTGGGCAGGGCCTCGACGAGAGTGACGTGGAAGTTGTCCTTGATTTCGGGAATCCACTTCTTCAAGTCATCGTTGAAGAAGTCCTTCAGTTCACCGGCGAATTCAACACCAGTAGGGCCACCGCCCACCACAACCATGTGGAGCAGACGCTTGACCTCTTCCTCGGTTTGATCCTTGAAACAGGCAGTCTCGATACAGTCCATAATACGCTTGCGGATGTTCTGGGCGTCACCGACTTCCTTCAGGAAGCAGGAGTTCTCACGAACACCGGGAATACCTACACGGTACACAATTAGTCCCAAAAGTGCATCGTTTCAGATGCGAGAGAGGATCTCACCAAAAGTCGCGTTCTCGGCACCAACACCGATCACAAGCATGTCGAAGGGAACCTCTGTGTGCGAGATATCACCCTTAATTTCCGAATCATCACTGATGTATACAACCCGCTTCTCATAGTCGATCTTGGTGGCCTCGGCTTCGTAGAACTGGACACTGGCCTTCTTGTGGCGCAGGATATTTCGGATAGGCTCCATGATCGAGCGGTGCTCGATCAGACCGGTGGTACATGAGGGCAGCAAGGGAGTGAACAGGAAGTAGTTACGGGGGGAGACGACGATAACGTTGTAGTTCTCGGTGTCAAGCTTTTTTAGAAGGGAAACGGAGCCCCAGCCAGTTCCTGAACGAACATAGTCGCGTTAGCGACACTTTGGCCGTAGGCAATCAACGATCGCGACCGACACATACCGAGAATGACCAGAGTCTTCTTTGATGGGTCAGGCGCGGCCTGGTCCGGGGGTTGACGGAGTTCGAAGATGCTGTATGCGACAGTACCGGTCAGACCAATGGCAGAGAGCCAGGTCAACCGCCAGGCCCAACGCAGAGCTCTGAAACGCTTCTTGGGCTTCGGAGCGGGCGAAGGAGCAGCATCAGCGTAGCCACGACGAGCGATACGCGACACAGACTGGGTAGACCGCATCGGCTTTGCGCGAAGGGCCAGCTGCGATGTCGACATCGACCTGCGCGTCATCGACGACAACTGCATGATGGACGGAGCCATCTTGCGAATTGCTAGCGTGGTGCCAGCCATTGTGAGAGGGCACACCAAAGATAGCAAAGGGAATGCAAATAGGGTAAAATATCAAGGGTGACTGAATAATTTAAAAAGGGAAAAAAAAAGATTTGATAAGCTCCATCATTGCGTTGCTGCTTTGGGCGAATCGGTGTACCCGGACCAAAGGGGGTGGTCCTGTATCTAGTACTTGGCTGATTGCGTGCTTCAAGCAGTAAATCTAGGTACTGTGTACTTTTATCACTTTTTCCCCCCTACCAATTCGGTCATTTCAATTACTTATTAGTATATAAGCTACTCTAACACCTTAGCTAATAACATATATCATATGGAAACCTGTAATTCTTTCCCGACCAAGCTATAATAACAGCCTAATTGGTTAATATCACAAGCCAAAAAAAAAAAAAAAAGGGAAAAAGACACAATAAAAAATTGGAGAACTGAGGGGACAAGCAATCTCCCGGTGAGGAGAAATTAACCGGGGAACTTCAAACTCGGTCTATCGGTCAATGTTTTGGGGTAAAATTTTGCACTGATATTATTCACCTGCGCAATGATCTTTGAATTGATATTCGAATCCTACAATAACCCCATACCTAACAGTATTCCCCCTCCCCTCCCCGCCCCCCAATTCCCAAGCTCCTACGGCATTCTCCGATTCTCAACCGGTATTACCCGCATATCCATTCCATATATTTTTGCTCTATACGGAGTAGCCACTTCTGAATCAATATGGCAATCTCTGACGTTATCCGCGCTAAAGCTATCTAATGGCAAAATCCGGGGAAGTTCGAAGCTCCACTCTCATCACTGGTCCGGTTTCTTCCATCTAACCTTAGAAATCCCGATGGGCTTGACTATACAGGAAACGTTGGCCAAAATCGGCCGGTCATCGTTGGAAGTCAAATGTACTCGTGATGTGATCAATCGGGAGCACTCCCGGTCTTTCTCGTCTCAATTAGGGGTTCGATACCAGCTCCGATATGACGCATCATAGAGAGAAAATCTGCGTAGCTAGGAATCAAGTATTAAGTGAGGCCAAGAATAGGATGAGGTGATGTCAACATTAGATGTCCTCTTCATAAGTGTAAATTACATATGATAAGTTCACCCAGGAGCTGCCTTTTCATTGGTCAATTCAATGTTTGCACCAACATGCTCGTATCACCGAAAGGCCCACGAGAGCTGCCCTTCGATTCCGAGGCAAGTTAAAGGGCGCCATATGACCTCAGATCCCTAGAATGTCAACAAAATGTGTATTACGTATAATCCAGGATATCAACCCAGACATCATGATCTGATGTGACAGACCCTTAGGCATTAAGACCAATGCTAACTTTGCCATTAGAATAGGACAATATCATGTCCAAACCTACACGGGACATCGATAAACACAATACCAACAACCCAATGATCAAAAAGCTCACTGAATGTGATATGATATGCGTAGCACAATATACAATCCAACGAGGATCCCATGCTCTTTTATAAACGAAGACAAGTCCACGGCCCCCGGCCCCCGGCCCCAACCCAGAAAAAGAACAATACATCCAGCATTACAAGCCTAGTAACAGCAGAGCCTAGATCCAACATTGAACAAAGTCTACAGGTGTCTACGAGCGACAGCCCGGACGGATTTTAAACATGACGGCGTTAGTAAATGGCCGTCTATCCGCCCACAGAGTACGCAAGTAAGCAGTGCCGGGAGCTTGTAACTGGAGAGACTATCTATTGAGTAGGCTGAAACCCTGCTTGACGATGGTACAAGTGTGCTCTCCTGCGGGTACAAGCCTAATACCGCCCTTCTGCTAATTATTTGCTCAGCCTTTGCTTGTCTACGCGTCCATCTGGATTGCATCTGGGTTAGTTGGGTATATCGGTGTCTCCATGTCGGACGAGGTATCATATCTTGATTGGAGAGTGTTGAAGGGGTGGGTATGCAGGATGCGGCTTGGATTGGTGTATGGAATATCTGGCGTTGTACTTCCTTTTTTTCCACCGGCCCTGTCTGGTCAGATTTGACATCGCCTATGCTTCAGGGTCTTTATCAGGTCCGTTTGCCTGTGTTACGGGGGAACTATACATATAGCCGCACTGCGAGATCAGAATGTAGCCAGTCAGTGCATGGGATATTTCGGAACCGGGAATTGTGAGATCCATTATGGCTATGGCGAGGCCGAATTAGGATGTTGGGGGAGGTGTTTGCTTCCTGTGGATTCGTGTCTGTATCTCTGGGCAGAGTCTGGATGCAGAACCCGGTGGTGTTTCATTGGGATTTCGCCTTGTATGTCAGATTGTATTTGCCTTGCTTGCTTCCATCATCGTTGA